TTAGACTATCAGGCAGTACCTGAGGCTTAAATGTATAGCTAAGAGATTGGATTAAAAGAGCTGAAATTGATAGAAGGCTAAGAAAAATACTGTACCTGAAGAACGCTGGCTGAAGACCATCTTTTTATAGACTTGTGTGTAGTTTTATTGCTTCAATGCAGCAATAGAAGAAACAATTCCTGGTCTCTAAAGTCGCCCTTGAAAGTGACTGATGGAGATTCAGATACTTCCCCACAGCATAGAGGTTATAATAAACAAAATCAGTATTAGCCAACTTCTTGTGTCTTCATGTGCACAGGGTTTATACCAGCTTACACATACTGTTAGGAGTAGACCACTTTTTCTGGATATGGTGGTGCAAATGGTAGAGGTTACACTCCAAGCCCACGCTTACTTGCCTGTCAGTAGAAGCCTACACTCATACTCTTTTAGTGAGGTTGGTGGCTGAGGTTAGCAACCTCTTAGATCTGTCAGAGGACCTACTTATGTGGCCTCTCTCTGGCTCACTCATGTCTAAATCAGTTAGTGACCTCTAGTAGAGGGGCTGTGATGAGCATATATGTCCAAACCATAAATAGACAACACACCTTTCTCAGACACAACTGCTTACAAAATCTATGCCTAATTGCAACCTTCAGCAATTTAAAAGCTGGTTAAGTTTCCAGCTAGGTATTTTTTGATATACAGATAGAGTAATGGAGCAGAACTGGATGTTCAATCAGAAGAAAGACAAGACCACTGCAAGAACAACTTCCAGGAAGTAAAAATTGAAAGGTATTTCTGGTCTGACAGAAGCCTTTCCAGTTCACAGAATGCTTGGTTCCTACCCAAGGTTAATCCTTTGTTGCTGTTCTGCATATACAGAAACCTTTTGCCAAAGTTCTCATTTCCAGTTTTTCTTCAGGATGCCCAAATGGGGCAAATCTATGCTGCTTCATGCCTTTAAAAGTAGATCAGAAACAAACTTGACCCCATGTTTTCAAAATCTAAATGTGATTTCTCCTTCCTCACCGTCTTATTCACTCCTGTGTCCTATGATGTCCCTTTTTCATCTGTTTCTTTTCATCATCATCCAAGTAATGAATTAAGATTTTCATGCTATAGAAACTGATCCTACAGCTGAACAAAATCCCAAGTAAACTCCCTCTGATAGGGTTGCATGAAGAGAGCTGTCATTTATCAGGAATCCAGATGCCCCATTCATCCTGAAGATATTCAATTCACATGATAGTGTTCGATAAGGGAAGGACAGTTTTCTTATGAAAGTAGGTTTTTACCTCTTTTGTTTTCTTTATACAGTCAACAAAGCAGCAAAATTAAAGATGAAGGTTGGCAAAAGCAAAGTTGCTCCCTTACATTTTACTAAATAAGATTGCCAAATCTAATAAAGCCAAATTGCATGTAAAGTGACAATGGCATATGAAATTACTAATGTGTGATTGTTATTAAGTGTTAAATTCAGATGTAAAGCTGTAGTTCATTAACTTTTATAATCCATTCCATTTCTTTCATTGACCCTAGCTTTCAATGACTGCTTGGATGAAAGCTTGCACATATGATTTAAAAAAAAAATATGAATACCAAAATAGAATATAACAATTTAGAAAGAAATGTGATAAATTGATGGATGTTTGTGGAAAAATGATGGGTTAGCCTCACCTCAGCATACCTTTCATATCTATACAAGAAGAGTAGATTAAATTCTCCTAGGGGAAACTTTAGTGACTTTAGACAGTCCATGCAATGAATGAACGAATGTGTTGCAAAGATTGGAATAGAGAGGATATTTTAAGCTAATTTGCCTATTTGGATGTTACTACCTTCTTCTGTAGAAGACAGCAGAAGATTTGTCTTTGACCTCAGAGCTACTTTTTCCAGGCACAAAATGTTAACCTCTATATCCTGGCCAAACTCCAAAGTGGGTGATTACATTCTGCTGCTCTAATTTTTCCCTGCAGGCTCAACTAGATCTACCAGCATTGCCTGATGTGTAGGGTTACTGTAAACAACCCAGTCCCTTTTTGCAAGGTTATTGTTAACCTTTTCTTCTATGACTCCTAATTTGTCTGCTTTGCCTTATCAGTTGTAGCTTGTTTGAAGGTCAGAATTGTTTGGATCTGGATCACAGCTTTTATCAAATTGAGGGACCGTGAATATGTGCAGTGCTACAGTGGTAACATCTTTATATCACTTTTACTCTCAGATCTTATACAGAGCGTAGCCTGGCTATAAAAGGAAATGAAATGTATTTTTTTTCCCAAGCACTTGCACAGATATACTTTTGTCAGGTATCACATCATGATGGTCTTGAAAGCCAAAAGTCAAAAATACATCCCCAAATTACAGGGCATTACAAATGTGTTTAAAAATCACTTGCCAATTGACTTATAAATTAACACATTCCTTAACTTTACATGCCATTAAAGCAATAATTTCTTATACTTAAAGAGATTATGATTTCCATGGCCTTAAAATCTTACAATTTTTGGAAGAAGTTTGCACATTGCTGCGAGCAGTATTTGTTTAATTCATACATTCATTTAATTCATGATCTGAGACATTAATTTTACTCTTAGAAAAAGCATTCACTACAAAATATAAGCAGATCTGGTCTTACTTTTGATTTCCCTTTGTCTCTATGAGGTTGTAACACCTGTACTCTGCATAGTTGCTTATTGAGTAATTTACACTAGTTAGATACATCAGCACTTTTATCACTAGATATATCAGCACTTATATCACTTGATTTCTGTCTAAAATGAAGAATGCAGTCAGTGCTTCTTCCCCCAGCACAGTCTCAAAAAAACCAGCACTAAGTACAGTCGCGGATTACCCATATGAAGAAGCCATACAGATTCTAGCTATGGGGATGTGAATTGATTGCTTAGTCCCGGTACCACAGGGTTAAGTGAAATGCTATCACAGTAATTTATTATTAAGAGAAATGGTGATGGCTTAGATTAAGAAGATTTGTCTGTCTCTTCTAATTAAGGTTAAATTCTTAAGAAGCTTTACTACCCTTTGAAGCTACAGAGACTAAAATTAGGACTCTAGTTCTGTTTAAAATGTCACTAGGTTGGTCCATAATCATATAGGGATTGCAGCAAGGGATCATTCTTCCAATGTTGTGATTCCTTGTTTGGAAGCTAGTGAGCCAAAACAAGATCCCATAAATCAAAGTTGGAGTAATCTATTAATCAGCAACAAATTGGTCCTGCAGAACTTCATAATGCTCTTGCAGTGACCCCTTGAAGACTGCATAATGAACAGGAAGCTGGCAAAGAAGCCAGCTGTAAGACGCACTAAATTCTATTGGAGACAAAGAGCAAATGGTAGCAGTAAGTGGGCTGCATAAAAAGGATGAAGAAATGGTTAGGGGAAAGATCTGTTTTCAGGCTCTAAGTGAACTCATTTTACAGTGGTGTTTATAAATCCTATATGTGAGAATAGCATCCTAGGCTCTTGTGTCCTCACTTGGTGGTCTACAGACAATATCAAAACCTCAAAACAATAGATGGATCACTTCCAAAGGATGTTGGGGAGGGACTTCTGAGTAGGGACTGTAGTGGAAGGACAAGGGGTAATGGCTTCAAACTTAAACGGGAAGTTTAGATTAGGACAAAGGGTAATGGCTTCAAACTTAAGCAGGGGAAGTTTAGATTAGATATAAGGAAGAAATTCTTCACAGTGAGGGTGGTGAGGCACTGGAATGGGTTGCCCAAGGAAGTTGTGAATGCTCCAACCCTGGCGGTGTTCAAGACCAGACTGGACAGAGCCTTGGGGGACATAGTTTAGTGCGAGGTGTCCCTGCTCATGGCAGGGGAGTTGGAACTAGATGATCTTAAGGTCCTTTCCAACCCTAACTATTCTATGATTCTATTTACACAGCATACAATGAGCTCACTGTTACAGTATAGTAACAGCAAAAGGGTAAATTAAGTTCAAAAGGTTTTAGCGAATTTTAAGCTTGGATTCAGTTTTCCTTACAGATGTGTAGACCTAGAGCAGCTCTGCCTATATTAGTAAATTATAAAAATGTAAAATTGGTGAAATAGAAAAATCAGACCCGTTTATGAAGAACAAAACCTTCTTTGACAATATTGAGTATGATAACACATTTGGAGGAAAAGAAGCCTTGATACTTCAAGTCACAAGTCAGTTTCTAGTTGGCTGGGATTAAGAAAATTCTGATAGGTAAGAAATTATAAATTATGATTTGCTACAGGTTGCTTTTCTCTAAATTATCTGATGCTACACTGCATTGGGACGAAACAGAGAGTGTGTGCACCAACATTCTTCTGAAGTATGCCAGGTCTTATGAACCTTTCAGAAAAAACAGTGTGCTGGGAGCCACTAAATTGCTATTCAGCAGCTCATAAAGGGAATAATCTTTACTTGGGTTAGTGAAAGAAAGCAAGTTTATATGTGTATTGGTATGGATGAACTGCAAATTCAGTCACAAGTATCTGACCAGGAAAATTTCTCATCAATGAGAATCCAGTAAGTCTACAAGCTTATACTGATCAATCTTCTGAGCAATGAATGAAACTCAATTGCTCTGTTGGACTATGTTTACAAACCTTCCATGTTACAGTGCATCTCTTTTGCTTTGCCATTCTTTTCTCTTAGGTTAACTCTGTAATGTTTTTATAGACAAGAACATCCAATTAAGCAGCAAAATCAATGCGCTACCATTCACATAACCAATCACAAAGTCTGAATAGCACATATTCATGGAGGATCTCCCAAGTAAAATCTATTTGCCCTAAATAATCTTGTGATTGGTCTCAAATGATGAGTAAAAGGGCTCCAAAAGGTTACAGGGAATCACTTAGTTCAGACCCCTTTATTTACTCTTACTCAGATTAAGATAGGAATGAATGATACCTACCTTTAGTGAACAAAGAAGCAAGGTGGTTCACAAAACATTGTGAGAGAAGGGTACAGCTGTGAGCAGTATACTTTTGTGTGTCCAGCATCTGGTTTCTATTGCAGCAGGCATGAGCAGTTCCTGTGTGACACTGGCCGAGGTCCTGTGGGCAAAAGGAAGCCCTTTGGAGGAAGAAGAAATATGGGCACTCTTGTACCTGGCCACCGAGCAGCTTCTGGAGGACCTTTACAAAGGTGAGGTGAAAAGCATCTTCTTATACTTTTTACTGTCGGAAATTCATTCCTGAGTTCTTTTAGCTCTTCAGGGGTGTGTGAGACAAAAAGCACTAATGGCAATATTAGCATATTGATAATAAAAATGAGAACTGTTTCAGTGCAGCTGGCATTACATGCAGACCACTCTGCTTGCATAAGAGACCTTCACAGCATTTTTTTTTCAAATTACACATCAGATATTAATTCATCTAAGTACAACTATACATGGTGGAACAGGACAGAAGAGTCCTTCCTAAAGTCTAGAATCCCATCCTTCATGTTCCAGTAGAGGAAAACAGGCAAATCCACATGGTTCCTCATTCAGCTAGTAAGATACTTCCACCCTTGATAATAACGACTTATCATAGTGGCTAGGCAAGTCTTCATAATGAACGCTTGCCAAGCAGGCCACCTGTACAAGAAAGCACAGCTGAGCAACCTGTCACATTTTGAGAACTGTTTATGACAATGGATATTCCTTTTGAGGGGAGAATGGATGAGTTCTTTCCTCAGGAGAATGCAGAACAAAAATACAAAATACTGAAAACAAGCAATATGTAACTTCTACTATAGCTGGAGGGCTGAACTTTTATTATCAACTAATGTTTAATGGACTGGAACACTATAGGAGGTTGAGTATAACATCAGTTCTCTATAAGCTAGTGTAAAAAGAGGGTAGAACATCACAGACAAGACAGGCACCAGGAATGTGCAAAGGAGTGCAGCACAGAGATACCCACTTGGATAGATTCAGCTCAGGTTCATCACAGCTTATTAATTCTGTCCCAGACACTAAAGCTGACACGACGC